CTCTTCTAAACAATTAGAAGAATTGTTTAGAAAAATTCTTCTCTAAACCATCTGTGTTTCAACTCTCATCTTTCTAAAATCTACTTTCTATACCAGTGGTCTCCAAATTGGAGTACATACACCAAAGGGTAATGCAAGATGATTCATTAGGATGCAAAAAGAAATATAAGAAATTCTACTTACATTTATTTTTATCTCATCCCTTTTAATTTCTATCCTGTGTAAGTTTTACAATGTTCCTAAATTAATACAATATGCTTGAGTGTAATTTATAAATAAGTAAATGTACATATATTGGGGTACATGCTTAAATATTGAATACTATTTTTCAGATGTGTTCTAATTAACATAATGGGATTATTACTCATCAGAATTTACACACTGCCTTTATATAATGTAAAGATTAATTACAATTATAGCTCTCATTTTTCTTTTGCTTTTTATTAAATTTGTAGTCTGATATATTTAACTTCTCAGATCCATTGATATAGTCTTATACAGCTAACATGTAAAAAATTGATTTTTAAATAAAATATCTTTTATTTATCCCTGTTAGATTTTCTTACAACTTGTTTTAAATTTTGAGACAATCTTATAGAAAAATTGCAAGTACAGCACAAATAGCATTTTTCCTGAATTGAGAGTTAAGAGCCAACATGATGTCCTATCACCTTCAATACTTTAGTATTTCCTACAAACAAGAGTATTCTCCTATGTTAGCCACAAAACCATCAAAATCAGAAAACATTGTTATTCCACTTTAATCCCAAGACCCCATTTAAGTTTTGCCAGTTCTCTAAATATGTTCTTTATTGAAACTATTCCAATTCAAAACCACATATTGCATTTAATTGTCATGTCTCTTTAGTCTCGTTCTTTTAATTCCTTACAGTTTTTATTTTAGGTTCTAGGGGTTCACGTGCAGTTTTGTTACATGGGTAAATTGCATGTCACGGAGGTTTGGTGTACGGATTATTTCATCACCCAGGTAGTGAGCATAGTACCCAATGGGTAGTTTTCCAATCCTCACCTGTCTCCTACCCTCCATCGTCAAGTGAGTCCTGGTGTCTTTTGTTCCCTTTTTTGTGTTCATGTGCAATCAAAGTTTAGTACTCACTTACAAGTGAGAACATGTGGTATTTAGCTTTATGTTCCTGTGTTAATTCGCTTAGGATAATGGCCTCCAGCTACATCCATGTTACTGCAAAGGACATGCTTTTGTTCTTTGTTATGGCTGCATAGTATTCTGTCGGTTATAAGTACCATATTTTCTTTATCCAATCTCCTATTTATGGGGATTTAGGTTGATTTCAAGTCTTGCTATTTTGAGTAGTGCTGTGAGGGCTTATTTTCTGAGTTGTTTTTCTTTCTTTTCTTTTTTTCTGTTAAATGAAACACTCCTACCTGCTCCACAGAGTTGTGGAGGCCAGAGAAGAGCATATCAGTAAAAAAAATTCATATTACATTGACTTTCATTAAAGTGTAAGATTATCATTCTTATCTCCAACTAAAGTGCTAACATACAGTTGATTTTTCATTATTTTATTTAAAAAAAGAATAATGGGCAGCCCTTTCAAATGCTAAATCATTCCTAAGCTATTTACCTAATGCTGATCTTTTTTTAAAAAGACAATGAAGCTAACTTGGCAGGACTATTCTTTTTTGACTTGTCTCATTTGTTATTTTTGAAGTGCTCACAAATCATGTACTTTAAAAAAAATCATTCTCAAATTTTTCTGGGATCAACATAAGTCTCACTATCCAGTTTACAAATCCTTCCTTTCTTTAATTGGAAAGTTAGAACAGATTTGCTTCTCAAGACTCCTGGCATCTTTCCTCTGCTCCTTGATTTTTCAAAAAGTACTGATATTAACTCTTAACAAGAACAGAGAGAACATCGGACTTTGCCACTGCTGATCAAGAATCAGTTTCACAACTGGGTGGGGCAGGTTGAGGGTGTTGGGGAGAAAACCACAACTTCTCTACATCTCTATTTTCCCATCTATAAAATGAACTTAAGTAATCTGACTTCTCACTGTTGTAATGAAACTGAAATGCAATAATGCATATGAATAAACATCTATAAATTAAAAAAGCATTATGCAAATGTTAGTGACACCCAATTCAGCACTCTGGGATAATTGTTAAAGCTATCACTGATGAAATGTACCCTCCTTACAAGACTCTGCTCCCTTCCAATGCTTGCAGCAACCCAATATGTATTATTATCCCTATTTTACAGATGAGGAAACTGAGGATCAGAGGGATTAAGTACTTCCCAAAACCACAAAGATAATAAGCAATGGAGCAAATTCAAACCCAGGTCTGTTTGATTCCAAAACCTACACCCTTAACTCACACCCCAAATAACGTGAAACTTCCTCCTATTCCACCATAGAGGCTGGAACTCATTGAAACAGGAGCTGCCCTGAAAACCTCTTCCCTGTTATAAGCTGCTGTCAAACTTTTATGTTGCTGGTTCCACATTTTCCAATTTAAAAACCATTCTACTTTCTACAGAAGACAGAAAACTCATAGTTGATTAATAGCTCTGAACTCCTATTTATCTGCGAAGGCTACACCATTTTCTGAAAGCAGCAAACCTCTTCTTGCCTTCTCTTTTATTTTCTGCAAACGTTTCCTGTATTTTATGTTTTTCATAAGCCTCTTTTTCTGTTGCCTTTGTCAATAGGTGAGACAATGACCAATTTAATTAGAAATGCTTAATTGGTTTACCATTTGATGAATTGAATAGCCATCCCAGTCAAATCCATTTTCTGCATAACATAATTATTTTGTTAATAACTCATCCCCATAAATGATTCCCAAAAATTTTACCCATATAGATGTCTTCCTTTTTAATTTTCTCCAAGTTTCCATTAATGGGTATTTACTAATTTATCATGTACTTGTGTGAAAAATTAGTCTTTTCTAATTTTAGAAAACATCCACTGTGTCTAAAATTAGTTTTTTCACAAGTGAATGTTTTGGATCCTGGACTGGACTAAAAATTTTCAAGAACAGGCCAGGTGCAGTGGCAGTACTTTGGGAGGCCGGGGCAGGTGGATCACCTGAGGTCAGAAGTTTGAAACCAGCCTGGCCAACATAGTGAAACAGTATCTCTACTAAAACTACAAAACTTAGCCAGGTGTGGTGGTGTACACCTGTAATCCCAGCTACTCGAGTAGCTGAGGCAGGAGAATCGTTTGAACCCGGGAAGCGGAGGTTGCAGTGAGCCAAGACCATGCCACTGCACTCCAGCCTGGGTGATAGATCGAGACTCCGTCTGGAAAAAAAAAAAAAAAAAAAAAAAAAAAAGATCAAGAACAGTAACAATGCCTTCTAAACTTGGTACTTATGATGTTTATGAAATGACTATTTCTTCGGGAGTTTCTTACATTTTAAATTACCATGACCATGACTATTGCAAAACTGACAGCTAAATGATCAGCAGAGTAAATAGGGTCCACGTGAATGCTGCTTTGCAATAGTGATCAGATATCACTCCGGCACCTACAGAAACATCAGTGTGTGTTGCAATTAACACTTCAAAAAGCTCATAGTTTCATCATGCTGTTATTAAAACATTAAAAATAAATCAAACTATTCATCCAAGGCATGTATAACATGTTGGCCTTTCAGGTGAAATACCTGTGAAAAAGGTCGCTTTTGACCTCAATTTTTTTTTTTAATTTGATTCCAAGAATATCTACATATTTACCCTGACAATTTTCTACAACCTTAATTTTATTTTCATTTTTATATATTCTATTTTAAAAGTGTTCTTGTACTTATAACTATAGAATCAATCAGTTTCAAAATGTCAGAAATGAACTGGTATGTCTTGGCCCAAGTGAAAATTCATACACTTGTGTAATAATAACCCCTTCTTGGAAAACCCCCTTTGCAAAATACCACTGGAAAGAGAAAAATGCGAGAAATTAACATTCACTTAATTTTTAACATATTAGAAAGTGTTACGCTTTCTTAGACTATAAGTGATTATAATTTTTTAAAAAGAGACACTGTGGGAAACATACATAAGGACTTATTACCTGTTATTTTTTGAAAAATATAATTTGTAGCACTAGCTAAAACATTTATTCTAAAATGATTTTTAAACAATAATGTATTGTGTAGTCAAAAACCTCTTTCTCATTTCACAGATCTAACAAATTAGCTATTAAGAATGAACTATTGTTTGACAATCAAACAGGAGATTTTTCTACAATTTTTCCATGTATTTTTAGTAATTCATAGTTAGCTTGAAATAAATGATTTCAGGAAACTATTTAGGAGCTAATGATTTAGAAGGCTCCTAGGTTAAAAGCAATAATAATAATAATACTCTGATTCTATATATCTTTTCTCCTATCTTGTCAGTTTTCAGTCATATAATTAAGAGATTAAAGTTTATTCAAATTAATTCCATTATAAGAACTTTAAAAGACTTTGAGGCTGGGCACCGTGGCTTTGCGCCTGTAATCCCAGCACTTTGGGAGGCCAAGGCAGGTAGATCACCTGAGGTCAGGAGTTTGAGACCAGACTGGCCAACATGGTAAAACCCCGTCTCTACTAAACACACAAAAAAGTTACCTGGGTGTGGCGGTGCATGCCTGTAATCCCAGCTACTGGGGAGACTGAGGCAGGAGAATTGCTTGAACCTGGGAGGTGAAGGTTGCAGTGAGCCGAGATCACGCCACTGCACTCCACCCTAGGTGAAAACCAAGATTCCGTCTCAAAAAGACTGAGATAAGTGGCAAAAACTTAGTTTCAAAAGTACTGGTTTAGATTGAAATGTATTTCAAATGTTAAATAGGAAGTTAATTAGAGTAAGAGTTGTGACTAAAGAGTAGAAACGCTGAATTGGTCATTTATCATTGGGGTCAATTATAATTTCACAATGATCCCCATAGAAACATTATTTAATTTAGGGATCACTGTTTTATGTACAATATCTCTTTTATCCTGCTCTGATAAAATTTTTCTCTTTTCTTAAGGTATCAGATACACACCGGACTTCAACATTCTATCATAAGACCTACTCAACCCAACTGTTTACCTCTGGACAATGCTACCCTACCTCAGAAACTGAAGGAGGTTGGATATTCAACGCATATGGTCGGAAAATGGCACTTGGGTTTTTACAGAAAAGAATGCATGCCCACCAAAAGAGGATTTGATACCTTTTTTGGTTCCCTTTTGGGAAGTGGGGATTACTATACACACTACAAATGTGACAGTCCTGGGATGTGTGGCTATGACTTGTATGAAAACGACAATGCTGCCTGGGACTATGACAATGGCATATACTCCACACAGATGTACACTCAGAGAGTACAGCAAATCTTAGCTTCCCATAACCCCACAAAGCCTATATTTTTATATATTGCCTATCAAGCTGTTCATTCACCACTGCAAGCTCCTGGCAGGTATTTTGAACACTACCGATCCATTATCAACATAAACAGGAGGAGATATGCTGCCATGCTTTCCTGCTTAGATGAAGCAATCAACAACGTGACATTGGCTCTAAAGACTTATGGTTTCTATAACAACAGCATCATCATTTACTCTTCAGATAATGGTGGCCAGCCTACAGCAGGAGGGAGTAACTGGCCTCTCAGAGGTAGCAAAGGAACATATTGGGAAGGAGGGATCCGGGCTGTAGGCTTTGTGCATAGCCCACTTCTGAAAAACAAGGGAACAGTGTGTAAGGAACTTGTGCACATCACTGACTGGTACCCTACTCTGATTTCACTGGCTGAAGGACAGATTGATGAGGATATTCAACTAGATGGCTATGATATCTGGGAGACCATAAGTGAGGGTCTTCGCTCACCCCGAGTAGATATTTTGCATAACATTGACCCCATATACACCAAGGCAAAAAATGGCTCCTGGGCAGCAGGCTATGGGATCTGGAACACTGCAATCCAGTCAGCCATCAGAGTGCAGCACTGGAAATTGCTCACAGGAAATCCTGGCTACAGCGACTGGGTGCCCCCTCAGTCTTTCAGCAACCTGGGACCGAACCGGTGGCACAATGAACGGATTACCTTGTCAACTGGCAAAAGTGTATGGCTTTTCAACATCACAGCCGACCCATATGAGAGGGTGGACCTATCTAACAGGTATCCAGGAATCGTGAAGAAGCTCCTACGGAGGCTCTCACAGTTCAACAAAACTGCAGTGCCGGTCAGGTATCCCCCCAAAGACCCCAGAAGTAACCCTCGGCTCAATGGAGGGGTCTGGGGGCCATGGTATAAAGAGGAAACCAAGAAAAAGAAGCCAAACAAAAATCGGGCTGAGAAAAAGCAAAAGAAAAGCAAAATAAAGAAGAAGAAACAACAGAAAACAGTCTCAGGTTCAACTTGCCATTCAGGTGTTACTTGTGGATAAGCGCAAATATTTCCTGTTTGGTTAAACTTTAATCAGTTCTTATCTTTCATCTGTTTCCTAGGTAAACCAGCAAATTTGGCTCGATAATATCGCTGCCCTAAGCGTCAGGCTTGTTTTCATGCTGTGCCACTCCAGAGACTTCTGTCACCTGGCCGCCACACCGAAAACTGTTCTGCTCAGTGCCAAAGGTGCTACTCTTGCAAACCACGCTTAGAGTGGAGATGTTTGTTTCTCTTGCTCCTTTAGAAAACGTGGTGAGTCCTGAGTTCGACTGCTGTGCTTCAGTCAACTGACCAAACACTGCTTTAAATTATAGGAGGAGTACAATAACCTACCATCCACAAGCATGCTAATTTGATGGAAGTTACAGGGTAGCATGATTAAAACTACCTTTGATAAATTATAGTCAAAGATGTGTCACCTCAAAGGCCTTGAAGAATATATTTTCTTTGTGAATTTTTGTATCTCTGTCGTATGACACTTGGGTTTCTAAATTAATTCTATTTCTCATATATATATATGTTTCTTTTCCTGTGAAAAGCTGTTTTTCTCACATGTGAACAGCTTGCACCTCATTTTATCATGCATGAGGGAATGGCAAATAAGAATGTTTGAGCACACTGCCCACAATGAATGTAACTATTTTCTAAACACTTTAATAGAAGAACATTTCAGTATAAAAAAACCTAATTTATTTTTACAGAAAAATACTATTTTGTTGTCATAAAAAGTTATGCAAATGACTTTAATTATTTTATTTTTATTTCCTGCATACCATTAGAAGAGTTTTATTTCATTTCTTCAAATTACCAAGCACTGTAATACTATGAATTACTGTAATACTGTGCGAATTCATAGACTATAAAAACATCATTCAGAAAACATTATAATCATCATTGTTCAACCATGATTTTGAATGTAATAAGATGAATATATTCCTTACAAATTACTTGGAAATTCAATGTTTGTGCAGAGTTGAGACAACTTTATTGTTTCTATCATAAACTATTTATGTATCTTAATTATTAAAATGATTTATTTTATGGAACTAGAAAATTTACTGTGGCTTTTCTGATCTAACTTCTAGATAAAATTGTATCACTCATCCTAAAAAATAAAGATCTTTACTAATAGGCAGTTGAAGGAATGGTTTGCTAACAACCACAGTAATATGATTTTACAGATAGATGCTTCCACTTGGCTATGACATGGAGAAAGATGTTCCCATATTAATAATATTATTAATTATTATAAAATATAAAAACCTAACATTTATATTAGGTTGGTGCAAAAGTAGTTGCAGTTTTTGCCATTAAGAGTAATAACCTTACTCTTATACAAAGTGGACACTGTGGGGAGATACAGAGAAATGGAATATATGGATCCTGCCTGGAGTAAGTTATCTTGTTTGGAAACCACACATGCAAACGTCATGAGGATAATTAAAGGAGTATTATCAGTAACGAAGTTTATCATGGGTCACCAATGAGCATAGATTGGTGTGGTTCCTGTAGACCCTGGTGTGTTCTTTGAAGTGCCCTCTCCTAATACAGAGGCCTCGAAGCCTCGCGGTATACACTTGAAAAGTCACAGATAGCTAGAATTGTGATCTTTGAAGTTATAACTGTGATAAGAAAATGTGTGTGGTGGTATGACAGCATACCATTAAACACATTTATATCACAGCTCAAAGGACTGATATAATACATTTATATCACAGCTCACAATTTCTGAAAATGTATTAAAGAATCTGTAATCTAGCACTGAAATTACTAAATTGGATAAGATGATTTAAAGGATTTTAATTTTAATGTTTTATTTCTAGAATATATGGCTACAGTTTATTTTATAGTATAAAGTTGTATTTCCTAAAGTTTGTGTTTTGTCGACGGTATCCTTTAAATGAGTCTTAAAAATAAAGGCATATTGTTCATGTTTTCCTTTCCCAGTGGCACATAAATAACATGTCTTAAAATAGATAGTATCCTATACACTTTTAAAAAATAGACATCTTTACACTAAAAAAGAATTCTGAAGAAAGTAAGTTTGGGAGATGTTGGGTTAAAGAAAGTCAAAGGAGTCACTTTAATGCAGATGTTTGTTAGAATTTTTAAAATCTTAGCTTGCATTGTAACCCTGACAGAAGGAAAATGTTATACAGTATTTCATAATTTCACCATAAAACTGTTCTCTGTGGCACAATGCACAGGACTAGCATTCTGAGGAACTATACTGTTATTGGAAACACAGTGTAAAAATAGAGTCTTCTAGAAGTTCCTAGAAAGACAAAAAAAGAAGCAAAGAGGCAAATTAGGATTATGAAATACCAGTAGGTATCACCTATTGTGGTGTAATTCTAAGTTCTCTATAAATGATTATAATCTTCTCAGTGAAAATAATTTAGCCCACAGTGTTCTACTGGAAATGGCTTCATGGATGTTGATTGCTGTTTTAAAGAGTACCTGCCACCTGCCCAGGGCTCTAGGCAGGATGTGGTTTACGAGAAGTCTCAGTGTCTTGCCCTCAAGAAATTAAAATCCTTTCTAATAGTCATATATAAGTCATGAACAAAAATGTTTCTAAAAATGCTGTTGGCAAATCACTAGGAATTTCAAGATGGACAGGAAGGAAAACACTGTGTCGTTGAGTTTTGTGCCCTAATCACTGATGCCATGTTAATATGGGAAATTCATTCTCAGGTGTTAGTTTCCTAAACTGTGATCTTCAAGATGCGTTTCTAGGCTGCCTGTGGTTCTTTCAAGTGTAAACTGCACCTCTTTCAAACCTCTGATCTTTCTTAGGGCTTCAAAAGAAACTTCATTAGCTTTGTCAGAAAATAATTTTTGAATATGGCTGTGTTTCTGGGTTGAGAACAGATATAAAAACATTTTCTTCCAATGAGAACATCAACAACGAAAATATTTGTAGTACCTTTCAGCCAGTGAAAACATCTACCCCAGGTCTGTCAACTGTCAGGTCTAACTAAAGAACTTGTTTCATCTGTTTTTACATACTCTTTCTTCATTTTTCTAAACATTGAATGGATAGTTTTGTTTTCTTGACCAGGCCCCTTTTAAAATTTTTAAGCACAGAGGATCACTGTCATTGATAGTTGAATAATTATACTTTTTTGTACTTTCAACATTCCTCTGTGAGAATATACCATATTAGCGTGCATGGCTCCACATTATTTCTTTATATTACTGAACAGTATTTTATTATATAGATATGCCATTTTTTATCCTTTCACATGTTAATGGACACTTGGGTTGTTTCCAGCTTAAGGCTAATATAACTAAAAATGCTATGTATTTTCATGTGCAGGTGTTTCTTGATTTTCTAAGGCATATGAATTTCACGTCAGAATTAGCTTCCTAAGCATTTTATTCATACCATTTTTGAACATACAAATTGTGAATTTGTCAGTAGCAGAATGTGTGATGTTGGCAGGAAAAAGTTTCCTTGCCAAAAGCAGCACAATTCCTCTATGGTAAACTGATAGCTACTTTATTTCCTCATGCAATGACTTCATAGAATCCATTCACTCATTCAATAAATGCATGCTGAATGTTACTCTCTCAGGCAATGTTGTAGGATCTTGGGATATATAAGTGTATGAAATGAATAAAAATTCTTACCCTTGGGCAGGTTATCTTCCAGCTGAGTGAAGCAGACAATAAATAATAAACACAACTAATTATAACATTATATACTATATAAAGTAGTGTGAAAAAAGAGTAGATCAGGATAACGGGAGGATTCACTCTACACCAAGTTTATCCATCCATTCATTCAGCATTTGTCAAGTGCCTCGTGTAATGGTGTGCATGGGATGTGATGGCAAGTGACATCAGGCAGAGTCCTTGCCTTCGGGTGTGCCCCTGCCTTTTTAGTGTACATTCTCCTAGAAGATGCAGCCATGAACCCAATAACCAAACACCTCATCCCTGCCATCCTCCCACCATGGCTATCCCACTTTCCAGCTTGATCTTCCTTGTTAGCATTTAATATGCTTCAGATTTTACTCACAAGTTTTCCTTATTGTCTGTTTCATTCCCCTAGAATATAAGCTTCTTAAGAAAAGTGATTTCTGTAAGTTCTGTTTACATGTGCATGGCCAGTATATAAAATGGTGTCCTACTCATACTTAGCACTCAATGTTTTTGAGTGAATAAATAAGATAATCACATTTATCCATATGTTCAGCCACATTTGCCTAAGTTTCCACTTTCTATTTCTGGTACAGGGATTTCATTGTTGAAAAATAGAACTAATCATCCTTAATACCTTTAGCAGCAATGATATGAAATGCAGAAATTTCTAACACTATAAAAAACTAACTCTAATATTGTATAGTTATAGGAACATGCTGTTACAGCAAAAGCAAAGCAAAAATTATACAAAATTGAGAGCAAATTTTATCTATCATCTTTATTACATAACAGGATAGAACATGATTATTCTAACGCTACTTGGAATATTACAGAATACATTAGCTTAAATGAGTTCCCAGAAAGAAAAGATGAGGGCTTAAATTGTCAATAACTTTTTGTACCAAATCATGAAAGGAAAAAAATATAATTAGCAAATAAACCTCTATGTCTTCATAGAATTATAAAGCCAAATGGAATATACCTCACATCCTTGGGTATTCTATTACAAACCTCTCCAATATGGCAAAGCAGAAATTCTGCTTTTTTAAAGATATATTTTTCTTAAATATTTTACTAGTCATAGCATCTCTATGAATTTGGTTGATTCATTGGTTAAACATGGTATTATTTAAAGCACAGAACCTGAATGTTGCCTTTGGGGATTAGGTAGATTTGAACGTATCTACCTAACTTTCAATTTCATATCTATGATTTGAAATTTCCTTATATTCAAATTTACTGCAATCCTGTAACATTTTTTGCCAGTTGGTTTATGCAATTTCAGGTAAAATCAATCCCAATAATTGAAAAACAAACAACAGAATAGCAAAGGCATATTAGAAATGTCTACCCATCCACTCTTTGTAGAAATTATTCAGCTGATAATTGTAAATAGAGAGCATCTTATTGCACAATCAAACAAAAGTAAAATTTGTCTTTCAGTATAAAAATCCAAAAATAATTTTTAATATCACTTCCATCATATTAATCTTTCTAGAAACAATGCTTTAAGAATTAAAGTCCTTCAACTCCAGGGTTGAACATGGAGGATGAAGAGGGAATACCTTCAGCTGACCTTCTAAATCCTAAACAACTGTGAGAAAAAAAACTTTTTATAACCAAGGTTTTTAAAAAGTCTTGATTTAATTTAGTATCTGAAATCATATTTTTTATGTCATCATCACCAGAATTTCCAGAGGCTTCCTTTGGGCAAACAGCGTTAAGTCCTCAGTCAGCGAGTTATTCTGTCTCTAAGGCAGATCCCACTAAAACTTCTCTATTTTTAGTTATTCCTGATTAAATAATCCCCTCTAGCACCTATGAGGTGGGGAATTACAAGCATAAAAAGTCCTGCAATTATTTCTACTATACAGTCAGACATAATAGCAACAAAACAATACAGTGTTTTATTAAACTTTTTTTTTCTTTTCTTCAAGTTTTGCTCAAGATCCTAACAGTTAACATAGTGTTTCAGAGATTAAGGTAAACAGCTTCTGAGGAATCGTGCTCTCTCCCAGCTGGGAGCCATGGCGGCTGCAGTGGCAGTGGAGACTAGGTGAGGTGGGTGGAGAGGTTTTTCCCCTTACCTTTTTATTTGGCCCCTTGCCTCTGCACTTCTCAGCGTCCCGGCTGTGCTAGGGCTATTTCTTTCTGAACTCACATGCAACCATAACTCCACATTTTCCTTTCTTGGCACCCTTCTCCATACCAAAGTCCCACATCCGTTTCTGCCACAGGACTAGGCACATTATAGCTATGTCCAACACAACAGAGGTATCAACAAGTGAATTCCTCCCTCCCAAAGTTCTCCCAGCATAAAGGGATGAATGTGTAGAGCTATCTCAGCCTTCTGGTGACGAGAAGACCTGAGCCCCACCCATAAATCTTCAAGGAGCTGAGATCAGAGTGGGAGTGAGCAATCAGGAAGCCAACAAATTGTTCCCACCTGAGTAAGTGAGCGACCTCTCCCTTCAGGTCCAAGCAGTTTAGCAGCTGCAATGTCCAAAGCCGCTTCAGCTTTGGGAACTAATTAATGCTTTCTCTTTCTGCCCAGAAGAGAGAGCAGTGAATAAGGTAACTTCTAACTTCTATTTGGAACCTATCCAAAGCCTACCTTGGGTATTTCTTCTCTTCTTACATAGAGGAGTGAACAACATAGATTTCTAACATTCTTTACCCACCCACCAAAAGCCCAACGTTGGGAATTCCTGGACCCTTTCTTCTCTTGCTAGGAGAAGGCAAAAACTAAAAGCCTTCTCTAAAACCTAAAACCATTTGGGCTGCTTGTTCCAACCTACCCCCAGCCTTCAACCAACAGTTGTCTTCCAATCCTTTCAATCTGTCTGCTATTGGCTCTTGCTGTCTTCTTTCAAATCCTGTTAGTTAGCCTGGGGGCCATCCTCTATCTCTTTCAGAAAACCACGTTTCAAACAGGATCCCATTCTTGTCAGTAAACTTGGTAAGTTTTTATGATCTGTATTTATTCCTTGTTATCCTGAATGCAACCATGAAGTTTCTGGAACTCAGAGTCATCATTGTTCATTACAGCAACGGCAGCAGTGTCACATAGGTGATGCAAGGAAAGCCACATGTTTAGCACTACATGTACAGGAGTCGCATCATAGGAGAGGAAGCCTAAAATTATGAATCTGGAAATATATATATATACACACACATATGTGTGTGTGTGTGTGTATACATATAAAAATATAAATAAAATGCCCCCCCTCTCCTCCCTTCCTGAGAGAGAAACATTTGCTCCCTGGTCTTTTAGAGTCCTTTGGACTGTAAATAAATGTTCTGAAGAAAAGAGAGGGGAAAGTACCCCAAAATGCAAACAGTTGGCTCTGACAGAAATAAGTTTTATTACTCTTTAAGAGCAGATAATTCCCCATGTAAGACACTTCAACGTCCGAGCTTGTCCTTTGACCCAGGTGCCAGTAACATTTGTCAGAAAGTCCTAACTATGCAGAAACATGAGAATATTCACTTTCTGACATAGATCAGTGGTTGCAGATGGAAGTTGAAGCAGGGACTGACAGAAAACAGGTATGAGGGAAACTTCAGGGTGAAGGAGGTACCTTAAAACTGAATCGTAGGGATGATTGTACATTTGCATGATGTACTAAAAAAAATCACTGAACTGTATAGTTACAATGGGCAACTGTATGACATGTAAATTATTCCTCAAAAAAGCTGCTAAATGCAAGCCAGGAGCTAGAATAATTATTCACAATAAATATAACAACAAAAAATCTCCAGAATATATAATGAACTCCTACAAATCAATAAGAAAAAATAACGGAAAGAGTCCTCACAAAAGATGACACACAAATGCACAGTCAATATATGAAAATGTGCTAAAAATCATTAGGCATTAGAGAAGTGTAAATTAAAATCATAATGCTATGCCAGTACATTTGTATCAGAAAGGCTAAAATGAAAAAGATAGTACCAGGTGTTGGTAAGTATGTGGAACAACTGAGTGGAAGTGTTTGTGAGAGTGTAAACTAATATAACCACATCAGAAAACGTTTTGGCTGTATCAATGAAAGTTTAACATTTATATCCCTATAACTCAGCAATTTTATTCCTAGGAATATACCCTGGAGAAATGCGTGTATAGATATTCACCAAAAATCATGTAAAGATATAATTCATAGAAGCACTATTTATAGTATCCTAACACTGAAAAGCACACTTAATTATTCATCAGCAAGAGAATGAGTAAACAAATTGTGATATTCTCATATAATGGAATGTTATTCTATTGAGGGGGACGTGTTGAGGGGTTACTAGAAGGGGCACAAGAGGGACTTCTGGGGTTCTGCTAATATTTTTGTCTCTGTGCTGCTTGTGGTTATATGTTCAGTTTTCTAAAATTCATTATCTATATAACTAGAGTTTATGTACTTCTCTGTGTTTGTTATACTTCTCACCACTACCGGAGTCTACGATATATATATATTTATATGAGATATATATATATATATATCATAGCAATTCCACTCCCAGATATTTGCCCAAATCCAGGAATAAAACTAATACATGCCTAGCAGAGTGTCTTGCACACTGTAATATTCAATTAACATGAAACACAGAACAGAAAGGCCTAATTTACCCACCCTATTTTTTTTTAATCATATTAACCAGCATGCAGAAATTTCTGGGACCTAAATATCCAGCCCTAATACATATTATAGATGACTACCACCAGGGGTCATGCTAGCAGGTTTGTTTCAACAGGTTGAGGCTGAATGTAATTAATTTTATAATTTTTAATAGTTTAAATCCAGTTTTTTAAAATTAAATTATGAAACAGGTGATGTGAATAATCATATTGAATGGTAAGTGCAATAAAATCTACATATGCGTTGAATTCACAATTGAGTCGTGTCCAATATTACAGTCTAACCTCAATTCCTATCAAATAATTTAAGTTAAAAAATAGTGGGTCCCATATTTATGGCTTTCTGATTATAGAGTCTTCTACTGAGGTAACATGATTCCCCTTGAATTCTTCTCTATTGTTCTTATCTTTGTAGTGACTATCCTTGTATTTCTCTGCATTGCTCCACTCCACCCCACCACTATTTCCTCTGCCTATTCATCTCTCCCTCCTTCTCTAGCTCTTTTCTCTTTGTCATCTTTATTTTCCCTTCTCCCTCTTTGTAATTATAATCTCTTTAATATTTTTAAAAACTAACCAAACTCATAATAAATTAGAGTCTGTGTACCTATCTTTAAAAAAATCTTTGGGCAAACTTTTATACTAGGATGCATATTTCCACATAGCCACTTATATTCCAGCCTAATCTAAGAGTGAAAATGACTGTTGACCAGAAATTAATACTTTTACCGATAGTCAAAAATAGTGATCATATTTCAACAATAGATAACTTTATTTACTATTGCCAGAAAGACTCATAATCATCTTTGTGTGTATATGTTTAATTATAATCACACTTGATTGAATTACAGTTTCCAAGAATTAATTATGGCTGTTAGTGGCTATTAAATGAGAAAATGTGTTTGCAGCTCAAACATTTGTCTTGTTATGTTTCCTAGTGGAAAAAGGCAAATACTGACAGGATGTCAGTTTAAGTGAATTCATGTTACTACCCTGCACAATAAAATAATATACAAGGCTGTGCTTTGTGAATTGTGAGTTACATTAGTGAATATCATTTTCTGATTGCCTGCATTTTTCCTATTTTATATACATGATTATTTTTGTAAGTAAAATTAATATAAAATTTAATTTGAATACTTGTGAATAAAGAGATGTAGCATTGTTTTCTATTAAACTACACTAATCCTCTCAAGCAAAAAGTAGTTTATTAAATCATATTCCATTAATTTTAAGGTGTTGATGCGTTTGTCATATTACCTAATTGACACTGTGTTATGGGAGAATTTTTGTGGCATATATTTTGAATTACTTTCAATTGTCTTAAGATAACTGAATTTGAAGAAACAATAGCTATTTTGTTATCTAACTTCACTTGTAAATTTCACCTACTCATTCTTACTAAAAACAAATAAAAATTTTAATAAACTTCAGGTTATTAATATACTGTATTTCTCCTTTTCCCTCTAACCACCTTTTGACCATTATTTCTACTATAAATTATTTCATTTTCTTTACAATTCATAAACAAATCTTGCTTTTCATCAAGATTTATTTATTGTGAACAATTCATTATGAAACAGTGAACATTATGAAAAATATTCTAATTTCCTTATAACTTGTTATTAATGCTAATTTACTCCATAATTTATTTAACCTTTAAAGCATCTTTCTCTTTTGATATTTATCTTTAAAATCCTTTTGTAAGCAGCTGTTTACTGAGTTGAAGCATTTTATTAGCTTATTTGGATGCTGTACATGCTCATGAAATACTGCCAAATAAATCCTTGAAAATTTACCCGGTAGTTGCTGTCTTTTCTCTTACGCTAAAAAGTATTGTCTATACTATTTGCATGCAAAATATACATTTCTGAAACCTGACTCTAAAGTCTGTCATTTCAATTAACTATTCTCAAATGATCTAACGTGCCTTTATCCTAGAAAATGTACTGTTAGTAGTGTTCCTATTATTATTTATTTTTTCTTTAGAGAACTTTGAAGTATCCTTCAAGATACGATTCTACCATAGCTCTTAGAAATAATAGCAATAGGGTCAAATTTGCCCTATTTTAATCATTCACCTAGCTCTCACCTCACATTCACAGCATGAGTTGTCTTTGAAATTCTCTAGTAGCAGGGATTAAGCCAGTATTACAGAATGAACTCCATCTAATTGTGTGTGAAAAGAGAGAAAATGCCAATTACATAAAAACATCAATGACTTCATTTCATTTATTTTGCTCCCTTTCTCTGGATCAAACAGGCAATCTTGATATATAAGAGAAACCAAAATAGGTAGCTAGAGGCTTCACGTTGCTGGTGTATATCCTCTACAGAGAAAAACAACAACAACAAAACACCAATGTTTTACTAGTCAGACCAGATTTTTCGGGGTTTTTTTAAGATGAGAAAAACGACAACTTTGTAGGAAAGCTGTGATGCTCTTAGACCAGCCATTTGTACAGAGGCTTAGTTTTCTACAAAAAGAGAGAATTGGACTAAATCAAAACAGGGGAGCAAAAGGCAAAATTGATTTTTCACAAATCATAATGTTTAAAAATAGATGTCACTGATCCCCTCAAGCTTGATGCATCCCATCTGAGTACCATCTGAGACTAACCTCATCCTTTGGCTGTAGGTGGTTAACAGAGCAACAAAGAATAAAAAGCCTGAAATCAATCAAATGATGAGTTCAACCTTACTTCTCCTCTCCTCTCAGTACCTCACACTTATTCTCCAGCCTGGAGAGACTCGTAGGCAGGGAAATTGCTGTACCTATGTGTTTATAAAAATATAAAGTGATAAATACGTAAGTGCAAGTAATGATAGAATATTATTGCTAATAATAGGAATATATTATTCTTATTTATAATAGTTAATAAAAGCACAATTGCTAACAGACATATTTAAACATATCACGTTAAACACATTACTGTATAAGAGGCATTCGCTTAAAGTCATTAAAGCTCAAGAGTAGATTAAAATGTTTTTAAAACTGCTATAGGTGACTCTAATCAATTAAAGTTACTGGGAGGTAAATTTCACCTCAGAATAAGAAAGAACTTTCTAGCAAAAGTGCAGCTTTTAGTGGAATGTTGTGGCCTCTGAAGACAATGTGTTTCCTCATACTGAAAGAAATGTAATAGAAGTAGAATCATTGTAAGCCTGGAATATATCCAGTCTCCACGTGCTAATAAGAGCTAGAGAAGCATCCAGAGCACAGACTGCTGTGAGACCTTGAGTCAAAAGTCGCCTTTCACAAGCATCCAGAAAACAATGAGTTCCCACTGTTTCCAAGTCCAAAGTTCCATTCCAGCAGTGATTCTAACTAATATACAGCAGTTGAGACAATGTAAACATACATCTATGCAATCTATTTATTTTCCCCAACTTCAACTGAAATCAGTGGGAAAAAAGCAAAAGATTTGTGCCATACTCAGATACTCTTGAGTATAAGGCCCAATTTCTCTCTTCTAAGCACAACTCAACTGTTCTCTCTCATGACTTCATTTTTGTGGATGGCATAAACCTGCCCCAAACCCTTTTCCAATTGTACCTCCAAGGGAGATCGGGCCACCTCTAATTACAGTTTACTTAATTTTCAAATGGTTTTTCCAATTATAATGTCAGCATAAGAAGATACCCCTGTTGCCAGGGCAACCTAAATGTACAATTCACTTCCTCAAAACCTAACTCTACCTGGTCAAATTAACTCTATATTCTCAGATAATCTCACTTTTGTGAGATTTTGTGCTTATAAAATATAAGCATTCTGAAGCTTCTATCATCTTATTTTGCCTATTTTTTACAAGGTGTTGTAAATCTATCCTCTTTTCCTTCAGTTTGCTGACATTTTATTTTTCTTAACTAATTCAAATATAACTCTCACCTTGAAAGTCAGGTATTTTTCTCATCGTTTACATATGTCTGTGTCAAAATTATCATCTCCATTAAAAAAGAGAAATTGACTTCTATAAAGTATCTATAATTGATCAAAACTTTAGTGTATGTCTCAAATAATTTAGATTGTTCAATATATTGCATATTTATATAAACACTGGAAACATACATGAGCATTCTAACCAGTGTGTGTGTGTGTGTGTGTGTGTGTGTGAATTTTTTCTTTTTTTTTTTTTGCTTGGAATTTCTTTTTTTTTTTTTATTTATACTTTAAGTTCTAGGATACATGTGCACCATGTCCAGGTTTGTTACATATGTACACATGTGCCATGTTGGTTTGCTGCACCCATCAACTCGTCATTTACATTAGGTATTTCTCCTAATGCTATCCCTCCTCCAGCCCCCAACTCCATGACAGGACCCAGTGTGTGATATTCCCCGCCCTGTGTCCACGTGTTCTCATTATTCAGTTCCCACCTATGAGTGACAACATATGGTGTTTGGTTTTCTGTCTTTGTAATAGTTTGCTGAGAATGATGGTTTCCAGCTTCATCCATGTCCCTGCAAAGGACATGAACTCATCATTTTTTATAGCTGCATAGTATTCCATGGTGTATATGTGCCACATTTTCTTAACCCAATCTATCATTGATGGACATTTGGGTTGGTTCCAAGTCTTTGCTATTGTGAATAATGCCACAATAAACATAAGTGTGCATGTGTCTTTATGGCAGCATGATTTATAATCCTTTGGGTATATGCCCAGTAATAGGATTGCTGGGTCAAATGGTAATTCTAGGTCTAGATCCTTGAGGAATTGCCACACTGTCTTCCACAATGGTTGAACCAATTTACACTCCCACCAACAGTGTAAAAGTGTTCCTATTTCTCCACATCCTCTCCAGCATCTGTTGTTTCCTGACTTTTTAATGATTGCCATTCTAACTGGCATGAGATGGTATCTCATTGAGGTTTTGATTTGCATTTCTCTGATGACCAGTGATGGTGAGCATTTTTTCATGTGTCTGTTGGCTGCATAGATGTCTTCTTTTTTTTTTTTTTTTTTTTTTTTGAGATGGAGTCTTGCTCTGTCGCCCAGGCTGGAGTGCAGTGGCGTGATCGCAGCTCACTGCAAGCTCCGCCTCCCAAGTTCACACCATTCTCCTGCCTCAGCCTCCCTAGTAGCAGGGACTATAGGCACCCACCACCATGCCTGGCTAACTTTTTGTATTTTTGGTAGAGATGGGGTTTCACAGTATTAATCAGGATGGTCTCGATCTCCTGACCTCGTGATCCACCTGCCTCAGCCTCCCAAAGTGCTGGGATTACAGGTATGAGCCACCGCACCCAGCCAGATGTCTTCTTTTGAGAAGTGTCTGTTCATATCCTTCACCAGCTTTTGATGGGTTTTTTTTTTTCTTGTAAATTTATTTAAGTTCTTTGTAGATTCTGAATATTAGCCCTTAGTCAGGTGGGTAGATTGCAAAAAATGTTCTCCCATTCTGTAGGTTGCCTCTTCACTCTGATGGTAGTTTCTTTTGCTGTTCAGAAGCTCTTTAGTTTAATTAGATCCCATTTGTCTAATTTGGCTTTTATTGCCATTGCTTTTGGTGTTTTAGTCATGAAGTCTTTCTTTGCCCACACCTATGTCCTGAATGGTATTGCCTAGGTTTTCTTCTAGATTTTTATGGTTTTAGGTCTTACATTTAAGTCTTTAATCCATCTGTTAATTTTTGTATAAAGTATAAGGAAGGGATCCACTTTCAGCTTTCTACATATAACTGGCCAGTTTTCCCAGCACCATTTATTAAATAGGGAATCCTTTCCCCTTTTCTTGTTTTTGTCAGGTTTGTCAAAGATCAGATAGTTGTAGATGTGTGGTATTATTTCTGAGGGCTCTGTTCTGTTCCATTGGTCTATATCTCTGTTTTGGTACCAGTACCATGCTGTTTTGGTTACTGTAGGCTTGTACTATAGTTTGAAGTCAGGTAGTGTGATGCCTCCAGCTTTGTTCTTTTTGCTTAGGATTGTCTTATCTATGTGGGCTCTCTTTTGGTTCTGTATGAACTTTAAAGTAGTTTTTTCCAATTCTGTGAAGAACGTCATTGGTAGCTTGATGGGGATGGCATTGAATCTAGAAATTACCTTAGGCATTATGGCCATTTTCACGATATTGATTCTTCCTATCCATGAGCATGGAATGTTCTTCCATTTGTTTGTGTCCTCTTTTATTTTGTTGAGCGGTGGTTTGTAGTTCTCCCTGAAGAGGTCTTTCAAATCCCTTGTAAGTTGGATTCCTAGGTATTTTATTCTCTTTGTAGCAATTGTGAATGGGTGTTCACTCATGATTTGGCCGTTTGCCTGTTATTGATGTATAGGAATGCTTGTGATTTCTGCACATTGATTTTGTATCCTGAGACTTTGCTGAAGTTGCTTACCAGCTTAAGGAGATTTGGGGCTGAGACTATGGGGTTTTCTAAATATACAATCATGTCATCTTCAAACAGGGACAATTTGACGTCCTCTTTTCCTAACTGAATACTCTTTATTTCTTTATCTTGCCTGATTGCCCAGGCCAAAACTTCCAACTCTATGTTGAATAGGTGTGTTGATAGAGGGCATCCTTGTCTTGTCTTGAAAGGGAAATCCCCTGACCCCTTGCACTTCCTGGGTGAGGTGATACCCCAGCCTGTTTTGGCTCACCTTCCATTGGCTGCTCCCACTGTCCAACCAATCCCAACTAGATGAACCAGGTACCTCACTTGGAAATGCAGAAATCACCCATCTTCTGCATCTGTTCTTGTCTTGTTTCAGTTTTCAAAGGGAATGCTTCCAGTTTTTGCCCATTCAGTATGATATTGGCTGTGGGTTTGTCATAAATAGTTCTTATTATTTTGA